ATCCTCCACCCGGAAAAGTTGCCATTAACAAAGCGCCAAAAGCCAATCGTCGCTGTTCTCCCGACTCACTTTCGCACCTCCCATCGACGATGTATTCCATCTGGAGGTCGGGTTGCAGTTTTAATAGCATTAGGCAGCGCTGCATTAGCTGTGATGTATGGCGAAGCAGAGGTAACCTGACTACGGCCCGGGAAAGGTCAAGAAATGCATGTTACACAGACAGTTCCAGTTGTCTGAGAGCTCCCCTCCGTTGGAAGCAGTCAAATCAATACCAAAGCTGTAAATAGGCTCTGCTTGGTTCCTGTGGTGCTAAGTATGGCAAACATGAAATGAACTGGATTTTTCCCCTCTATGGAAGATATTTTGTAGCGTGACAGTAAACCGATCTTCCCGGTGGGACGCAAGAATGCCCCGTCATTCCACGACACAATGCAATGTCCAACGCGAGGTTTCGTTTCTTTCCCCCCCAGTGCACACATGCTGACCGCTAGAATCCCGGCGGGCGGTTAAAGGGAGAGTAAATGTGCGTGAATTATGCAAGAGATCAATGAAGAGAGAGTCAACAATTTTCCATGCCAGTTATAAAAAAACGAAATATGTGTAGACAGGATCTGACTGTGATGGTCCACTGAGTCATGCATAGTCCGGCTCTGACCACATGAAATAGGTCACCAAAAGAAAACAAAGCAATGATCAAAGCATTACATTAGGATTAGGCAAAACAGTACATTTAAAAGAGTAAAGATAAAATCCTTAAGTTGTATGCACAGCTGAAAATAAATGTTTCAAACCTGGATTTGAACTTTGTCAGATAAAAAGACTGTCTCACATTTTCAGGAAACTGTTCCAGATTTTAGCAGCATGAATCTGAAAAGCAGCCTCCCCATTATTGGTTCTGACTCTGGGCACCAGCAGGAGGCCAGTCCCTGTGGTCCCAACAGTCCGAGTTGATTCAGATGGCATTTTTTTTTACTTCCACTTTTTCTATTGCACCTAAATGACTATTTCTCCATGAACCACAAACTATACCAGCACTACTACTACTATTAATAGTTAGGAGTACTACAACTTCTAAAATTGTCTACACGATTGCTATTACTTACGTTACTTCTACGTTAAGGCTTGAATATAGGCGCCCTCCCACAGTAGTATGGAGGAGATAACAAACAGTGATACATAGATCTGTCTTTCTACCTACAGTAGCGGTAAATTTAGGTTCTACCCAATTTTTTTGCTCAGCTTTGAAACAGCTTCATCAGACAGAAAAGTGAAACCATTTTTGCAAAGCCAGTAAGCCCAAAGAACCATATACTGTAGTAACTCGCTGGGTTTTTTTGTAAATATTTGCAAAAGGTAAATGATTTCCCAATGAAGTATCCCTTGGTCTGAAATCAAGAGAAAAGACGATTTTTGTTGCAGTTGTTTGGAGTCATCCCAAGCTCCTGACTTTGCACCTGTGTTGATCCATATTGAGCTGAAACGTTACCTGTTAAATGCAGAGCCAGTGCTGCAGCAGACCAAGGCCACATACTTGCGTTTTGGCCTCAGACTCGTGTGTGTCCTTGAAGGAAATCTGTGGGTCGTCTCGGGGTTAATCCTGTGAAAGCCGCGCAGACTAACAAGCTGCAGCCGTGACTCTGAGGCAAATTCAACCCAGAGCAGCTAGTACCCCTCTGTCTCTATGCTGAAGAAGAAGAAGAAAAAAAACTTAGAGCAGGGGTGTTCAAATCATAGATTGTAGTGAATATAGATGGGCAATGCTAAGCTGCTAGCTCAATAGCAAAGCAGTCTTGGACAAAGTTTTGTTTGAACTCGCTTTGGCTCCTGACTTGTATGAAAAAATAACCTCCTCTAACTCCGTAACCGATTGAATAAAAACGCCAACATTTGGGCTTAAGACTCGCAATTATCTTGGTGTTTTTAAATGTGCAATATGCTTTTTACGTGGAACATTTTAGCGTATATAATTTTGATATCGGTTGTTCCAGCCAATGACAAAATTGAGGAAGGAGAAAGCTGATCAAGAGCCACTCGTGTAAATACAGTGAATAATTCTACCTACCATCATGTGTTTATCAGAAGTAACATAAATCTATCAGATCTATCTCTTGTCAAAAATGATAAGGCATTTGTTTAGAAAAATAAGAGCCTTTTCAATATAGAGCCCTATAGTTTGACATGCCTGGTGGAGCTAACATGAATTCAGAATAGTTTTGAACAGTTTTAAGTCAAACTGGTTTTGTCATTTATTATTTTATACAGTTGATATTATTTAAAAACATTCATCAGAAAAATAACACAATTCTTTAGTGGCTAATTATTAATGAAAAACTATCCAAATCCAAACGCCTGAAGTCAATCGAGGTAATTCCAATGTTTAGAGTACGGCAAAACCGATGGTATACTTTTCACTTAGTTTGCAAGCCAAGACATAAACGATTAGGTTGAGAAACTTAATGATTGAAGTCACTATACAGTTTGTAAAAGACGCAACAGAGAAAAGTGACTCACCTTGTTGACTGGTCTAAAAGTGCTCAACATCTTGTCAATGACGCAGATCCTTCCATTTGAATTGCGAGCGTTACAGTCCAAATAATACTAAATCCTAAATTGAACTGAAAGAGAAAATGGAGTGGTTTTGGAGACTTTAGCCGAACTGGAGACCAACCCAATTCAGGGAGCAGAATTGTCTTTCCCGCTGGTTTCATCAGAGCAGCAGCCTCTCACAGTGATGAGCTGGTAAAGAATAGACCTCGAAACACAGCCACTTCAGAACATGGATCATATTTTATCATATTAAAATAGATGAAAAAGTACAGATTTTCTATATTGAGAATTGCAATTGTGTCTGGGAGAGGTAGGAATGAAATGTTCCTTTTATTATTCAATGCAGCCAAAAAAACCAACATTTTCTCAAGGTTAATCTGCCTATTTTGTTGTTTAAGCAGCTTTCTCGGCGGACGTCTCACAATTCTGCAGGAAATTGACTCATCATGCTAATAGATTGTTGAATTGTGTTGAATTGTAGATTGTGGTTACGTTTTTGAATAGTAACTTCACACAATGAGTCGACTCTTCAAATGATCTGATTGAACATCCGGTCTGAAAAGAAAAGCAGATGATGTTATCCGACCAAAAGCTGCATAATGTAAGAGAAGACAAAGCAAGACAAGAACAGAGCGAACTCTCCACTCCAAAAATGACAAAGAGCACCTTTCAAATTCTAAAACCGAGGACATAACCTGAAAATGAGATTGTCGACAGCTTAAGATGTAGTTTCCCTTGTTATTTTCATAGAGTTTTTTTGTGTGATTCATGCATAGTTTGGATCATTTGTATCCTAATTTTTGTACACCACCATTGCTCTCCCCTCACTCCTCTGACCACAGCACACTTCCCCTAGGTTTTTAGTTACTTGGTTCGCCAATTTTTCTTTCTGAATTAATTTTGCTCAAAGGGAAATACTGTATATCCAAGGGTCGACAGTGGCTCCGTTGGTAGAGCATTACCCTTTGACCCAACTCCCACTGATGTCTGCTGTCATTGTGTCCTTGGGCAAGACACTAACCCCACATTGCCAGAACTCCCTGCTGAAGAGGGGAATGGGCCTGAAATGGACAAATGGAAAAAATATCCTTCCATTGCAACTTGGTCTCCAGTGGAGTAGGGCCATTACGCCTAAACATAATGGCCCTACTCCACTGGAGACCATAGATTTCACATGAACAAAATATTTCATAATGAGCCAGGGTTATCACAGCTTATCATGTATAGAGGACATAGTGGTGTTTTGTCCCTTTAAAGTTTGGTCCAGCTCATACTCCTACATATAGACTTAATATAGTGTTCTTGCATACGAGCTGATAACACATAACATATGACGACTTAACGTTTGATTTCATTCCTGCGGGCCGACACCTTTCCTTAGCCCGGTCCAGGCTCATTTTTCCAGTTCGTCTCAGCACCTCAGCCAGAACCATCTGTCTTTGTGAGGCAGCTGCCGTGTGTGTGCAGCCGATCACATCTGCTCTGGGACCTGGTGATTACGGCCCAACAAACAGGCTCTGAGTGCAGATATGGAAGTGTCGAGTCTGCGGTAACACACTTCCATACACACACAGAAGGACCTCAGTGATGTTAGGAGATAAGAAAGTCAGCTGGATTTAGTTTTATTGGATGGACGTTATGTAAACCTATGGAGATAACATACAAACTTGTGAGCAAAACAAGATGACTAGACTGCTCATGAGACTTGATTTTATACATTTAGGGTACGTACATTTACTGTACATGGGTATATGTGTGTAAATGTTCATATTTTGGTTCATGCATTAATCATGGCACAAGTCTGCTCTGCCAGACGCTCCTTCTTATTGTCAAAAGAAGTCAAAAGTTAACCATCGCTCAAATCAGAACGAGAGGCAATATTTCTTTGCAGCAAAACGTGGAAGCTGTAGTCGTACTTTTCCACAACATCAAATATGGCCTGCATGGCAACTGCGGCAACCACAGCGACTGATCCATTGTTTTCTTCTGTTCTTTCCTTGTTTTCAATCATTGGTTGATACTGTGTGTCAATCATGTTGTCTGGCTAGCGGGCAATCATTGAACAGCAATAGAATATTTGCTCATAAAAGTCAGGACAAACAGGATGACAACAAACAGTTTAAAACATATTCTGGATCAAAGCATTCATACCTGGAGAGACTTTCATCCATCATAACATTTAAACCCTCTTTAAAGCCAATACATGTCATAATAGCGGATTAGCATTGATCGATGAGTTTAGAATCAAAGCATTGCATGAGAAAAAGCAAAAAAATGGAAATGTATTTTATTTTCCACGTTTACCAAAACAGGGCTAAAAAACTTGTTGACAAAAAAGGACAGCCTCCTTATTAACAGTGTTCCAGAAAAGCCAAGTTAGAAATAATACAATGTCAAAAATTATAATTGGAATTCACACATTTTAATGGCATCTCACTTCTCTCTCTTCACAGATCCTCTGCTTCCCACGTATATCCCATTCATGGACTCAACCACGTCACATTTCCCCCCAAACTTCCCCTTCCCCGATGGGTCTGAGAGCCCGTTGCCTGGGGAGACCACCACTTCCGCACCCCCACGGTTCCTCGGAGGGGGGCTTAACGAGAACCTTATCCCCATCTACTGCTCCATCCTGGCAGCTGTCGTGGTGGGATTCATAGCCTACATCATCTTCAAGAGGTGACTACACTAATTAATGATACAGATGAACGAAGGGCATTGGGGTCCTGCATTTGTCCAGGGGTCTTGGAGAGATACTTCTGTTATGTGTCCATACTGGTGATATGTAACTGCATGGTGAAGCCTCAAGTCGGATAAGAAAAATCCTTTATTTGTCCCACAGTGGGGAAATTTCAGTGTTGCATCACAAGTTATAGAACAACAGGAAAGAGGAGCACACAACACAAGATAAGATAAGTAAACAATTGCTATACTAATTCAAATAAAACAAAATCTCTAACTCTAGCATCAATAAAAAGTATAAAATCTCTATCTTGAAAATAATAATAAATTAACTTGGATCTATTTAAAGCAAGGGTACCTCACTTTTTAAATGAATGCAGAATGTTTTTTTTGTTCCAACAGAAAGAGTCTTATAAAAAGAAATGTTTATAATCAGACTACATCATGCTGTCTTTGTCTGTCTTAGGAAAATAAATATCTTCATAAGAAAGAACCTTGTGAGGGTGGTCCAACCTTTTTCACTTTTTGGTCTGAAAAATCTCATAAAAGAAGTCATAAAAGCCAAAAAAGTAGAGCGCTTTTTGTATATTTATAACAGGTTTTTGATTTGAAAAGACGGTACCCCACCTGTTGATGAAGTATTATCCAATACTGTAAATACACAAAGTTAAGTCTTAAGTAGACTTTTTCAACAATACTTGGCATGTCAGCTCGCAAACTCTTTAGGAGTGCCACTCGAAAATCAGACGAGCATTGTTCCATATACTGCTAAATTATTACCATATAATTATGGCCCTTTCCGGGCAATAACATACACCAGTTGAACTGATATTTCCCCACTCTAAAAACAGTGTCCATTCACATGAAAAGGAAGAAAATGTTGCTGCAATGTTGATGTGAGACGACAACCAATGGTATCAGCCAAATCTTAAGGAACTAAAGTATGTTTCTGCTAATGCCAAATTTGGATGACTGGTAGAAGGGAGTGCATATAGAGAAAGAAGTGTATAATTCGATTTAAAGTTGAAACAGGACTAAACAATGCTATCCGTCTTGCTTTTCATTGACCTGTGTTCTATATAAATATAAAAATATACAGACCCAATCACTCCAGCCCTCTATGAGTAAGCTTCTTATAAAGGCCACCGCTCTTCATTCATTATAGTTTTGGTCAACACTTCAGTGGGCATGAACCGGGTGCAGGCAGAACACATTGGGAAGACGGTAAACAAACTCATTACGGACATTGATTGGTCAAAAAGTGTTGCCATGGGTAGAAATTCATCATGCTATCCAACAGCGGAGTCACGCACACCTCTGGGTTTAACTCCTCACGTAATCATCATCATGGACACTTAGCACGCAATATCATAAAGAAACTGGAAAGACAACATATTGACGCTGCCACTAAAGTCTTCATAAATATTTAAGCTATTGACTGTTAGACTGCGTCAGGAGAGAATTCAACAGCTTAATCAGCCCGTAATGGTTTAGAGTGCTCTTGTTGACAATTCTACTTTCTTCCATTGATCAGGGACATGTGGAGACTAAGAATAGCCTTGTTATTGTTGGTACAGTCTGTTGATTCTTATGATGACGCTAGAATGGGGATTGCTATGTCGTGTTTTTGCCACACAAAAAATCAATAGTAATGTCATGTGCTGATGGACTAGCCACAGAATGGGGATGACAGGGTACATACAGTATAGACACAGAGAGACACAGGTGAATCAACATGGGAATAGGACCAGATGTAATACGGGAAAAAAAACACAGAGAGAACTGAAGTAAAAATAAAAAAAAAGTACAAAATAACACAAAATCCACTCCATGACAAGTAATCAGAGTTGGAGATATAGGAAGAAGTTGGACTCAGATACAAGTACTAATGCTTCGTCGAGTTTGGTTTTCTGTTGAAGATAAAAAAGAAAGTCACCTATGATACCTTTTAAAAGAGACGTAAATTCTTATCTCAACATTTGTCATGAGAAGAGTAACAGAACAACAATATCTCCAGATTTTATGACAATTTGTTAATCTGATTGCAAGAGAAAGTATAACGAATTATTGTAATGTACTTGTATGTATGGACGCATTCATTCAGCCCAATAACAAGTGTCTTGGATCCTTATTACTCCACAAATTCTATGAGATGAAACAAAAGCTAAACTATAAATCAGTGCAAGGAAACTGCTCGCAGAGTGCATTATGTATTAATATATTCAGAAGGAGTGAAACCTCTTGGACCTGGCTCTTGTCTGCAGGTGGAACAGTTGCAAGCAGAACAAGCAGGCGGCTAATAATCGGGCCGCGACCAACAACCAGATGGTGACCCCAGAGGGAGAGAAGCTGCACAGCGACAGTGGCATCTCTGTGGACAGTCAGAGTCTACAAGAGCAACATCAGCAACAACTGCAGCAGCAACAGCAGCAGCAGCAGCAACAGCAGCAGCAGCAGCAGCAACAGGCCCAGGCCGAAGTACAGCCACACGCACATGACCAGATAGGTGAGTGTGACATAGAGACTGTACATGTAAGAACAATGCTGAACTGCTCACTCTATGAAGCCTCATGGGGAAGTGGTCATTAACAAAGCTCTACCCCTGCAATCTAAAACACATCGGTGGAACAAACTACCTAATCTTTCATCTATCCAACTATCTAACAGCTCTTCCAGAACTTTTTTGAACCACTATTTTCTACTTCTATAATAAGTAAACCTACTCGAGCGCATATATCCTTGCTTTTTAGAGTCTGGCAGGGTACGGGCACCTACCAGACTCCAGAGGTGTGTACAAGACAAAGATTGAATAAGAATTATATTTAAGGTCAAGATTGCATGAATAGACACTTAACCCAGCAGACGCATGATAGGATACCAATATGTTTATTACATACAAACCTGAAATTTGTGTTAAGTTTGTCAATTAGACCCCGGCAGGAATATCAATCAATCAATCAATCAACGTTTATTTATAGAGCGCCTTTCCTACACAAGGCAACGCAAAGCGCCTCACAAACCATATAACATCATGCATAAATCATCAAACATTAGAATTTAAGTAAACATAAAAGGACAGATTAAGAGCACAAGATATATAAAATCACACAAGTAGTTAAAAACCGTAAAACATTAAAATCACACAAGGGATTACAATCATAAATAATCATAAATAATCATAGCGCATTAAAAAGATTAAAGATAAAAACAAATATAAAATCATTCACTTGTATGCACAGCTAAAAAGAACTGTTTTCAGTTCAGTTTTAAAAACTGCTAGAGTAGACGCCTGTCTCACACTCTCGGGGAAGACGGTTCCAGACTCTAGCTGCATGAATCTGAAACGCAGCCTCCCCATGTCTAGTTCCGACTCTTGGCACTAACAGAAGTCCAGTCCCTGTGCTCCTCAGAGCCCGAGTTGGTTCATATGGCACCAACATGTCGCGGATGTACCCTGGTGCGAGGCCATGGAGAGACTTGTACACAAGTAAAGCTACTTTAAAATCTATTCTCTGAGCCACAGGAAGCCAGTGCAGAGACCTGAGGACCGGACTAATGTGGTCGTACTTCCTGGTTCTAGTCAGGACTCGAGCTGCAGCATTTTGGATGTACTGCAGCTGTTTTACCGCTTGTTTAGAGAGACCTGTGAACAAGCCATTGCAGTAGTCCAATCGACTGGAGACAAATGCGTGGATAAGAATCTCCAAGTCTGCTTTAGACACAATGTTTTTAATTTTAGCAATGTTTCTTAGGTGGAAGTAAGCTGATGATGTCACAGATGATATGTGGCTATTGAAATTTAAGTCTGAGTCCATTATTACTCCTAGATTTCTGACCTGAGTTGAGGGTTTTAGGGAGAGAGACTGGAGGTGGCAGATAACGCTCTCTCTTTGTTTTTGAGGTCCAAAAACAATAATTTCAGTTTTTTCTGTGTTTAGCTGGAGAAAGTTATTTTGCATCCAATCACTGATTTGTTGGATACAGTGAAGGAGCGAGTCCACTGGTCCATGTTCTCCTGCTGTCAGGGACACATAGACCTGAGTATCGTCAGCATAACCTACCCAGAGGCAGCATGTAAATATTAAACAGGAGAGGCCCCAGGATTGAGCCCTGTGGCACTCCGCAGGTTAGGGCCAGATGGTCTGAGATACAGTTTCCGATCTCCACAAAATACTTTCTGTCCTGTAGGTAGGATATAAACCAGCTTAGGGCTGTTCCAGAAACACCAACCCAGTCCTCAAGTCTCTGAATGAGGATACCATGATCGACAGTGTCGAAAGCAGCACTTAAATCTAACAGGATAAGAACTGAGACTTTTCCTGCGTCAGTGTTAAGTCTGATGTCATTTGTTACCTTCACTAGAGCGGTCTCCGTGCTGTGGTGGGGTCTAAAACCAGACTGGAACATATCAAAAGAGTGATTGATTATTAAAAATTCTGTAAGTTGTTGATAGACAACTTTTTCTAGAATTTTACCCATGAAAGGCAGATTTGAAATGGGCCGATAACTTTTAAGTGCCAAGGCATCCAGACTCCTCTTTTTTAGGAGGGGTCTGATGACTGCCGTTTTCAGGGCCATTGGGAATGTTCCAGATTCAAGAGACATATTTACTATATGCGTGAGTGAAGGTAAAAGACTGCTCAGAACAGATTTAAGAAATCTAGGAGGTAATACATCCAGGCTACATGTAGAAGAACTCAGACTTGTAATTATCATTTGGACAGTTTCATTTTGTACTGGTGTAAAGTGTGTCAGCCCAAAAAGCTTCACTGGCTGTTGGATTGTAATTTCTACTGTGGAGGTGATGGCATTTTTGATGCCTTGGACTTTGTCATTAAAAAACTCTGCAAACTCATTACATTTGGTTTTGGAGGTAAGCTCTGATGGCATCTTAACAGGGGGATTTGTCAAATTATTTACTGTTGAGAACAGAACGCGTAGATTGTTACTGCAACCTTCGATTGTTTCGGAAAAATAAGTTTCCCTCGTTCTACGTAGCACACTGTTGAACTTGCACAATGCATCTTTGAAGATCTCATGGTCAACTTGGAGATTTGACTTTCGCCACTTCCGCTCGGCTCTCCGGCACTCTCTCTTCTGTGCCCTGACAGAGTCTGCTTTTGTCCATGGCGCCTTTTGCTTATTTGTAACAATTTTGACCTTTACAGGAGCAATCGTGTCCAGAACATCCAAAACACTAGAGGTGACAGAGTTAAGTAATTCATCCACAGTAGAACACAACGTGTTATCAAAGTTTATCATCCCCATGAAAAGTTCACCTGTATTTTTGTTTATGTGTCTTCTTCTTCTAACAATTGAGGATTCAGCTCGTGCTTTACTATTGAGACACATATCAAAAAATACACAGAAATGATCTGACAGAGCAACATTGGCCACATTTACATTTGAGATATTAACCCCTTTAGTAATTAGCAGATCGAGAGTGTGTCCTCTGCTATGGGTGGGGCCACTCACATGCTGAGTGAGACCAAAGGTTTCCAGCACAGAGCTCAGCTCTTTCGCGTATCTATCATTAACGTTATCTACATGTATATTAAAATCACCTATGGCGACTAAACTATCAAAGTTTGTGCACACAACTGAAAGCAACTCGGTGAAATGATCAGTGAAACTATGACATGACTGTGGCGGCTTGTACACAACAATAATAAGAATAGAAGATTGTTTTTGTTCTATTTTAAAAGAGACATACTCAAATGAGGAAAATTTCCCAAGAGGTACTCTATGGGAGACAATACAATCTTTAAAAACTGCTGCTGTGCCTCCTCCTCTTTTATTTTCTCGAATTTCTGATTCAAATTTGAAATTTGGTGGTGTTGTTTCTATTAAAACTGCATTTTCTGTATTATGGTCAAGCCAAGTTTCAGTCATAAACATAAAGTCAAGATCATAAGAACAGATAAAATTATTAATTAAAAAGGATTTATTGCATAGTGATCTGACATTAAGCAGAGCAAGGTTAAAAATAATATCAGTGTCAGTGGGTTTGTTGATTGACTACAAAGAATTGGAATTAGATTTCCTGAGTTGGACCGTCTAACTGCTGTCCTTCTGTTATATTTGTGTTTATTCAAATTAAAACACATTTCTGAGCCGGTGCGAGGAACACACACAGTCTCTATTGGTTTAAAAAGTGAACTCTGTTTTACTTTGTTAAGTTCCAGATGCATGACTGAGTAAGCACCGTTCAGTGGCAGGACTGGTATTACACTGCCAGACGGACAGAGGTCAGTGTTTGCACCACAGTACTCACCCGGTGCTGGAGTGGAGGAGGAAGGTGGTAGTGGGGGCCGAGAGGCCTCGGATGTAAACAGTCACGCCCCCCTCGGGGAGCACTGAACAACATGGCGTAAAAAGTCCATCAATAAACTGGTACCGTATCTGTTCGGGTGCAGACCATCTGGACGATAGGCCACGTGACGCTTCCAAAACAGGCCAAAGTTGTTCACAAAAACAAAGTTAAAAGTGCTGCATGCAGACTGGAGCCACATATTCAGCGCCACAACGCGACTGTACAAGCAGTCTCCCCGGTTTACAGTCGGGACTGGACCAGAGATAAAAACACACAACCCGGAGGACTGGAGGAGGCGGAATAGATCCATAAAATGCTTCTTTGTGACCTCGGACTGCTGCAGCTTCATGTCGTTGATCCCCACATGCACGATTACCTTTGAAATGGTATCAGGCAGGGACTGAAGCAGAGGAGGGAGACGGATGAGCAGGTCTGGTACAGTGGCTCCGGGAAAACACTGAGTGACCGCGTTAAAAAAGCGGACGTGTCTCACGATGGAATCTCCAACAATCAAAGTAGTCGGGGCGAAGAGTGGACGTAGCCGCGGAGAGAGCGCTCGGTGTCCATGGCCGGAACCAGCGGGCTCATCCAGGGATGAGTCCGAACCAGGGCGCTGCTGAACCCAAGGAGGGGAGCGGGGGTGTTGATTCTCAGCTCCGGGCAACCCACGCTGTGTGCACGGAGACGCCGGAGAATACTGCATGATGTATGGACAGAGTTTAATAGAAATGATGAGCTTGCGAACCCTCCAGGACCTAGACCTTTGCTGGCGAAGGAAGCTGAGCCGAAGACGTGACATGAGACTTCACTGGACAGGTGGTGATGGGCAGATCATGCAGTGAATACAAAGTTCTTGAGCAATATCTCATCAATGAACAGAACTGTATAAGCAAAACCCAAATCTGTTATTTTGGGTTGTTTTGAACTCCTCTGTACAAACTCGCAAGTACAATATTTTAGCTTTCCTTCCACTTGAAATTTGTGTCTTGTTGTAGTATCCTTCAACTTCTTCCCCCTCTCACTTCGTCTTGTTACAATCAGATAAAACCCACAAGTTCACAGCCTTACATAAGCACAACAGAGCTCTATTCTCCAGTCATTTATCACACTAAGATGTCCTGCCGATACAGTACATCAAACATATGCAGAGCCTTATCGAGACGTCCAAGCCTTTGAGCAACTACTTGACTTTG